AGAATTAGTTTATATATTATAAAATATAGTCAGTAATATTAGGAATTTTTTATAACTATTTTAATAAATAATTATAATTATGTTATTAGAAAGAATAAATATCCTATTTTTATTAGTATATTTTATTTTAAGTAGTAAGATTTATTTGGACGGTTTAGAATCAGATTTAGACGGGTATTCAGCTTTAGGCTGATATATTGGGGTAGATAAAAATAAAATATCTTAATATTTAAAGATATTAACTAGAATTGTTTTATAGACAGTACGCCTAGAATTAATTCTAAAATAGGATAATATTTCTGCGGTATGAAAAGACTTAGCGATATAATAATAGTAGTTATAAATATGAAAAAACTATAAGATATAAGAATTTAAATAACTAAGTTTAATAATATATTATCTAGTTTTGTATACAGTAATATACTTATTATTATTTAAAATTCTAATTCTTAAATAGTAATTAATTATTATTAAAAATAAAGATTTATTAACTATTTTAAAAAAATTAGTATTAATTAAATAATTATATATTAATAATCCGGTGTTATTTTTAGAATTAAAAATACAATTAATATTATATAAACTATTAATTTTCTTAATTAATAAATTAATATAAAAATAAAAAAATATAACTATATATTTAGCGGTATAAATAGAAGTATTTATAAAATAGTTCGAGATAATGAATAATCTAAATAAAAAAAATATAATTTTTATATAAATATATAATAATAATCTATTTTTTATAATCTAAAATTATTTTTTTATAATATATTATATCTATACTAATAAGAATATTTAATAGAAGATTTTTAACTAAAATAATATATATTTTAATATATATAAATATAAGACCAACCGACTCAGTATAATTTTTATATTTAAAAAAACAGATATTGAAAATAATATATTAAGTAGCTTAGTATATAAAACTAATTTTTCTAATTTAAAGTATATAAAAAATATTATATAATTTAAATCTAAATAAATAAATTAATATAGTATTACTAATAATTATTATACAGCTAATATTAATATAGATTTTAATATATTTAAATATAATATTAATATTAATTTTTATAATAGTAGATTTAAAAAATTATAAGACTTTATTTATTTTAATATCTATAACTTCTTAGTTATAGTAATTAAATATAATAATAGAGTCGTTATTAACAGTAAGTTTAATAGATTTAATATAAAGAAAAAATATAATATAATATTTTAAATAAATATAAAACTTATTTTTAAAAAATAATATTAAATTATAATTATTATAGAAAATAAAATATGCTTTATCGTCGACTTCTTAAAAGATATAAAAAGTAAAAAACAGATTATTAGAAATAGAAATAGTACCGGGGTTTTTAGTAAAGTTATTCTTAATATATTCAGCTATATAAATATTATTATACTTTTTATAATAAATATTATTTTTATTATAAGGATTATTATACTTAGAATCATTATTATATTAGTTATTACTATATTTATATAGATTATTTTTTATATATTAATATTTAGAATATTTATATTCAGAACTATATAAATAGTTAGAAAAACCAGCAGACGACCTTCTATTAGAAGAACTATATATATTAAAATTTATATATTATTTAAAAATAGAATTATTTATATTCTTAAATCAAATAAAATTAGTTATAGTAATATATATATTATAGTTATAATTAGAATAATTACTACCACCAGACCGAGTATTTTACTAGCTGTAATTTATATTTTAATAATTTTTATACTATTAATTCTAATTTTATTAACTATTATATTAATTTTTAGGTTAATAGTTATTTATATTTTAATTTAATAACTACAAGCTGTATTATATTTAATTATTTTAATTAAAAGTATATAAATATAACTGCTAATAAGACTATTATTAGTTGTTCAGTTGCTATAAGTTTAATTACTAGTTTAACTACTAATAGTTTTAGAATAAATAATTAGACGAATATTTTTAAAAATTATTAATATAATTCTTATAGTTATTATAAAAATTATAATTATTTAAATAATTAAATTGTTTTTAATTATAGGATTTTTAATTATTATAATTATAATTATATTTATTAATTATATAAATAAGATTTTTCTACTTTTATTATTAGTTATTAAGACTTTTTAAAAATTAATTAATAGATATTATTTTTACCAGCTTAATTAAAATAATATAAAAATAAATATTAATATAGTTTTATAAATAGAGTATTTAGTTATAAAAATCTTTTATATATATAGTATAGATATAATATATAATATTTTATATAAATTAACAAATTAATTTAGTATTTATATTATTAAAATTATAATATATATAGTTAAGCTTTAATAAAACAGCAGACAGACTAGAATAAAATTAATTTAAAAAATCTTTAATCTAACTATTTTTAAAAATAGCTTTAATAATTATTAATTTTTTAAGTTCGGATGTATTAAATATAAACTAGATTAAGATAGTTTTATTAAGATATATTTGAAAATTATTTTTAATAAGCTTATTATTATATTATTTAATAGTATTATAAATATAATTAATAAAGATATTAATATTCTTATAAAATATATTATAACTAATTTATTTAATAGATTTATTATTTTTTATATTTAGATAAAAGAAACTAACTTTTTTAGATTTTATATTCTTAATACATATAGTATATATATATATATTTAGATTTTTATTATTAGAGTTATTAGAGTTGTTATTTCGATTATATCGACCACCACAGGAATTATATAAAAGAAACAGTAGGGAAGAAGAATTATTATTACTAATAAGATATTTTTTAAAATAGTTTATATAACTGAGTAATTAAGCCAATATATCTTATATCTATGTCAATAGATTGATAGAAAAAGGATTTAATTGGTTATTATTTTAAGACTAACCGTGCAGAATAGGCGGAGTAGAAGACAGACTAGTACTACTAGGCAGACCAGCAGAGGCGGAGGCACTAATTATTTTTTTGGTTAGATAATACTTATAGTGCGAAAATAATAAATAATAAGATGTAAGAAACTTGATATTAGAGTTAATATCTAAAGAAATAAATATATTAATATTAAAATACAAGAAATTAAAATAGTTGAAAGATAGATTACTAGTGTATATATATTTGACTTATTAATTATATTAAAAGATTTAAGAATATTCGATGTTTTAAAAATTAAGTATAGACTGTTGACCAAATATTAGTTTAGAAAAGCAGGAACAACCAAGGTTAGGAAAGATATCAGACAGTAAAGCAGTAAATAAAGAATTTAATAATATGAATAATAGATTAGTAAGTCTAGGAAATAGTAGAGGACAAGTAGTAAATAGGATTGATTTTTTCGGATATTCAGTAGCTGGAAAGGCACCAGAAACGATGTGTTTTAAGATCTGAGGTATTTTGAATATATTAATATCTTAAAATATAAATATATTAACTTTCTAATATTTAGATATATTAATATTTTAATATTTAGATATCTTAATATTAATATTTATTAATTTAACCGATTTTTAAAATATAGAGAAGGCAGGGTCTTTTAAAGAGGTAATAAAACTCGAAGTAGATACTTTTAATAAAAATATAAAATTAGTTGAATAAGAATTTAATATAAATATAATATTATAAAATACTAATATTAATATAAAGATATTTATAAAGATTTAAGAATATATATAGTCTAATAAATATATTAGTTTAATAAAGTTATCTAAAAGTTTTTAGAAGTAAGAATTACAAAGTTAGACTATATAAGATTTAGAATTAAAAAGATATTTAGTATAATTAAAAAAATAGAAACATTTTTATATATAACTAACTTATTAAGATTTTAAAAAAAATATATATAATTTTTACAGATATCGAAGCAGGTATAATAAATATAATATAATAAATTTTAAAAAAATACTACTGTTAAGATATTTTTTAAAAAAATATAAATATTACTATTATAATAATTAACAATTTAATGCGCGAATTCGAAAAATATCTATACTACTAATAAATAAATATATAGACGGGCTACTAAATAAATGTCTTTAACAATTCCGACCGAATAGACGTGTTGCTTATGATGTAAAATAATAGGGTATATAATAAGAAGACTAAAATAAGTAGTAAAAAAGTATTAATAGAGATAATTAGAATAATAATCGGAATGTTGATTAATATGAAAGTGAGAAGTATAAAGAATATAAGATACCAATTCGGTAAGATTGATTTATATATAGATTGCGGAAAGCAAATCATAAGATAGGATAAAAGCTTAGCAATACAGGTAACCCACACAAATAAATACAGAAACAAATAATAGAATACAAAAACACAACCGGAAGAAAACCTCGAGATGTAGACACAGAAAGAATAGGAATTATCGACGCGAAAAGACCAGTAATCAACAAATAAAAAAAAACATAAGAATATAAAGATATAAAGAACAGTATATCCCTAAAGACATACTCTAAACCGTTTATAATGTTAAGACATACTACCAGATGTTATAAAAGTTGATATAACAAAGATTGATATAATTAATTAATATAAAGATAGTTATTAAGAAGAAAGTTCGGGAGGTCAAGCCAGCCGAAAAATATCCGCTAGGCGGAAACTAACGGCAGAATATCGACACCCACGAAATCCACCACACCCAGCCAGACTAAGAACCAGACACCACCCCGCCCCTTGACAATATTTTTAAAAATATATCGAAGACATATTTAAATAAATGCAGGACATACTACTATATCTAATCAATAATATGTTTAGTACAATTAATTGATAAAATTAGTTATAACAAAAATCATTAGAATTCCTAAAAAAAAATAATTCAACTGTTCTAAATTTTCACCGCTAGAGCGGTAAGTAAGACAGTCATATAAACAAACAGCAGAATATCAGTATAGCCGAACAAACAAATATAACAAATATGGTTTATTCTATATATTATAGTTTTAAAATCAATATATCAAACCAATATTAGAATGCCCTCGTCCCTGACAAAATATATGTTAGAATATAGATACTTGAAATTAATACTTAAGGATGACGAACATCTAGCTAAGATCTCCCATTATGTCTTCATCAACCCCGAAAGCAGCATGATCGATACTGCCCTTGCCGCCTCCCTTTCCTGTAACACCAGACCACCCCTGGCATCTTACAAGGACATCGATGTTCTCACGGCCTATCTTTAACTCATTGTTACATTCCCCGCAGTTGTGGCTCAAGAGCTCGAGTGCATGGCTTTTCCTCATTAGCCCAACCCTCATCCTGCTTCGACTGCAATAAGGCTGTATGGACTTAGGGAAACGCAACATGCTGAGAGATAGATCGCAAGGCCTTTGCAAGAGTCGTGCCCCTAGCACTCCAGACATTACAAGAAACGCAATCAAACTCTCGATCTTCGCTGATGAAACCAAGCCTGAAGACGCCGCTTTTGCTGCGATGTCTCTTGTTGTCAGAGCGGAGAAAACCCTGCAAAGTTTGAGTACAAGAAACATGTCATAGGCCTGGAAAAGCTGGCGAACAAGGCCAGAATTGAGATCCTGGTAACGTATCAGCGAAGTTCGCTAGTGTTAGATGTTGCCCATGCATCGACTCACAGCACACCAAACTGATTTTCCCAAATCCGCCTCCGTGCGCAATCTCTGCTCGTCCGACTTTTCAAAAGCATCTGCGAGGGAAAGATAGGGTCTTGCGACGGCTTGGTATATCTTCATAACATGCGAGGATATTATCTTTGGAGCAGTAACCAGCTAACTCAAGCGATTAGTGAAATTCGAATGAGGGTTTCACCCTGACCACGCTGCTAACTCACCTTGCCGTGTCTCAGTAAACCCACAAGCACCCACTTTTTGAATGCTTCAATCATGACTTTGCTCACTGAATTGACAACAGGGAAAGAGATCACAATACTCAACCAGTGCAAGGCCTTATCCCACTCTTTAAGTGTCATGTATATCATGGCACCGTAGAGATAATACTGCGCAATATCCTTGTGTGTCAGTCTGGCAGAGATGTCGGGTGCTTCTGCAATAAAATCGTTGGCATCGTGGTTTAAGGCTAGCATGTATCTGTTGTCACCCCGGGCAGGCTGCTCCAAGCTTGTATGACTACTGGATATGTGTTTATCAAGTACAGGCAATGCATAGCTGTAAGACTGCGATAGCAGGCACAGTCGGAGGAACCTTGGGTGCAACGAGGTGAATTCACACACGTTTTGATCAATTCGCATTATTGCGCCACTCAGCACGCAGACTGCTAATACTGGCTGTTGCATGTTAGATGCCTAAGACGGGTAAATGGATATTTAGAAGAGAAACTCGCCTTCGAGTCATCTTCTGCGGCATCTAGAATCATATTCACAAGTTGACGCCATTCATGGCCCGCAAAATGAACTTGAGGTCCTTTGAACTCTCTCAAAAACTGTACAGCTGGAGACCATAGTCGGCCACCGGGCTTTATGTCGTCTGGCAAAGCACTTCTTGTTCTGCTGCGTGCCAAGTCAATCTGATGGAGCAACACGAATAAGTAGGGTAAAGTGTGCTCGTGGGGACTCAGGTCCTTTGCAGAATTAGACTCCAGATCAGTACAGACTTTGATAGAGGCCGCATATGCCCGTCATCTTTCTGAGGAAGCGTATATCTTTGCTTACAGTCAAGACAGTCTCGCTGAGAAGGCTCTGACTTGATCGCCTAAGAATAGCGACCAATTCCTGGACCCGGTTTACATAGTCGGTTTCAGATAAGAGATTGGGAGAATGCAGATGGGATGATAAAGAGATAATTTGCTGAACAGACTCTGCCATGATTAGGCTATAGGATCGGGTTTGTTTTGATGCCTCGAGGAAGACTGAGTAACCTCTGCGCCCAAATGAGGGCTGGCTTTCAAGGTTTAAATGATTGACGCAATCTCATATGTATGGTGCAATAGAGGTAATGCCCAGAGTGATGGTTGAGGCGTCAAAATAGCATGAGCATGGGCTGGGTGAAGAAGGTAAATGATGTTCTCCACTAGCTAGAAGATGCTGCCGAGGTTGAACATGGGATTCGGCCGACGTGACCCACGGACGTTATGCTAAGGATGCCGCCTTTAGGATAAATAGGCCTGTAGTAAGATTGTATGCAGCTGGGTCAATTCAGAGTGTGAGATGTAATCTCGACATACGGAGTATGTTTTAATATTGTGTAATAAGTTCCAGTTGTGATCCAGGCGATCCGGCAGGGAGCATAACGCACCGCCTGGGACCCCACCAGACTACGGGCTTTTTGGTTAGCAGCATTATTTACAGGTTACGTACCTTGTATCTTTGTTAGCGTCCTAACCGTGACTCACTGACCGAAGTCTGGCAGAGGCTCGAACTGCACCCCGGATTTCGCGATCCAGACGGCTCACTTCGGGCTCTGAACCTCTATTGGTAAAACATTGAGCATCTTCACTTGTATTGTGGTCTATGATGTCCCTCACAAATTCCTCACCAGCCGAGATCGCGAAATCTGCGTCTATAGCCTCTCGTCTTTTAGCAACCCTATCTGGGGCCGAGAGGGATGACGCTCTGACAGCGCTCCACGAAGCCATTGCGAAAAGCCGGAATGATATTCTAGCAGCCAATTCGAGAGACGTCGCGGCTGCTGAGCGCGCAGTTGAAGCCGGCGTTCTCAACCAAAGTGTTCTCAAAAGGCTCGATCTGTCACGACCCGGGAAATTCGAAGATATGCTTCAGGGTATCTTGAGTGTCAGAGACTTGCAAGATCCAGGTATCAATTCCACCAAATCACTACGTGACCTCTCCCTTGCGATGTGATCAAAGAGCTGACGTGGCGAAGTCGGGAATGTGACCATGAGGACACTACTGGATGATGGCCTGACGCTCGAAAAAGTCAGCTGCCCCATTGGGGTGCTGCTAATCATCTTTGAGGCTCGCCCTGAGGTGATAGCCAACATCGCTGCCCTTTCTATAAAATCTGGCAATGCTGCTATTCTCAAAGGTATGTCTATTCTTCTTTTTTTTACAGAGATCGCCTGGGACTAATAGCGATCAAGGTGGCAAGGAATCTACTGAGTCTTTCATGGCAATATCCAAGGTGATTTCAGAGGCTATCGCACACACTCAGGTGCCAAAGGCTTCGATCCAGTTGGTTGAGACGCGAGAGGTTGTCTCTTCCCTTCTTGCTCAGAACACCTACATTGACCTGGTTATACCCAGGGGCTCCAAGGACCTTGTTCGTTTCGTACAGGACAACACCAAAATCCCTGTTCTGGGCCATGCAGACGGTCTTTGCTCCGCATACATACATCGCGACGCCGATCCCGATGTTGCTGTGAAGGTTATTGTAGACTCCAAGACCGACTACCCGGCAGCGTGCAACTCCCTAGAGACCTTACTCGTGCATGAAGATGTACTCCATACTATCTTTCCTGCTGTTGCTGAGGCGCTCTTAGCTAAAGGAGTATCACTCCGTTGTGATCCGTCTTCGAAAGAAGCGCTGTCGAGCAAGATTGTCGGTCAACAACATTCTTTGGTTTCGGACGCTGTCGAGTCTGATTACGAGACCGAGTTCTTGGACCTCATTCTGGCGGTGAAAACTATACCCAGCGACGATTCACCTGGGAAAAGCCTTGACGCAGCAATTGCCCATATCAACAGGCACTCGTCAAAACACACCGACATGATTGTCACGAGATCAAGAAGCACTGCCGAACGGTTTATGAATGGTGTTGATAGCGCCGGAGCTTTCTGGAATGCCTCGACGAGATTTGCAGATGGGATGCGTTATGGTTTTGGTACGGAGGTTGGAATCAGCACAAACAAGGTCCACTCGAGAGGCCCTGTTGGCTTAGATGGATTGACTATTTACAAGTATAAAGTTCGGGGGCAGGGCCACAGAGCTGCGGATTATTCCGGAACGGGCAGTGGAAAAAGCTGGAAGCATGAGGTGCTACCTTTGTGAGATGCTGTTACAAATTCTATCATTAAAATTGAACGTTTTAATCCATTTTCATTTTCGTGGCGTCCAAGCTTCTCTACCTGATTATTCATGATTAACAGATAGCCTGGCGCAGGAGACGAAGTAATCAGGCGCTAGCCATGGTTCAAGATCACGTGTTTGAGGTTGTGCTACATTCTCCTGCAGACCTGGGCAGCATCTACTTAACAAGGAAAGTACGAGTCTGACCCCTATTTTAAACCTTGAAACCACGAGACCTTCTCCGACCACGAGCACGCTCAAATTTGCGGCCCTTGCTGCGCACATATGGTTTCTGTAACGTATTAGCCCGGTCCAATCCACTGAATCGATATAACATGCCTTGTGGCTGTGAGGGCCGAAGCCAAAGTGTTTGACAGCCTCTCTGGCATTCTTGGGTCCGCGAAGCAGAAGAGTGTTGGCTCCAGTAGGGGCGCGCAGAGCAAGCTGATCGAGAGTAAGAGTCTCACCACCGGCCTTCTCAATCCTGGCGCGAGCAGTGGCAGTGAAGCGGAGAGCGGCAATCGAGAGCTTGGGGACGGTGAGAAGGCGGTTGTCGTCGGTCACGGTTCCGATCACAACAATTGTCTTGCCCTTGTGGGAGTCGGTAACGTTGGAGACAATGCGCGAGATAGAAACCGGGGGGCGGTTGATCCGGGACATGAAAAGGCGACGAAGCACGACCTTGTTGAAGTTTGATTCCGTGCGACCTGACATGGAGCAAATTTATCAGTCTTCATTTGTTGGATATTCTGATGGTCAGGAAGTGGTTGGTGTCATACGGGCGAGGAATCGATAGAGCTTCACCAAGACCTGCAAGTAAACGTTCTCGCTCTTGGGCGCCTTGCGGTGGGTGCCGCGCACATGGTGGCGATCCAAGTCGATACCTATACAGAATCAGTACTTGTTCGGTTCACATTTCAGCGATAGCAACGCCTATCGCAAGTTTCACGAAAATAAGATTTCAGCGGCCGACACCATGCACCGTCCGCAGCATTCAGAGACGTACCCATGGCTGCTGATTCTGATGGGACACCTGTAGGTTAGCTGGCTATCGCACCCGTAGGTAAAGTGAAGCTGCTCAGGATTTTAGTCTACGATTTTCAGATGGACGGTGTGTGCGGGTTGTGCCCTAGTCTAATCCGTAACAGGTCATACCTGATGCCTGGCTGCCTGGCGCCCCAGGCAGCGTCAGTGGATAACTTTATTCGGGCCCGTAGGTACGTGTACTTAAGTGTAATGCACAGCTCCGCCTCCACCTTGGCTCATGCCTTGTAATTAAAAATGTGTTCATGTAGTACTAGCTTGCTGTTAGACCCATAGTTTAGCTAATTTTATCTGCGTAGGAGTATTCCTGACGTTGATGTTATCTACGGATAGAAACCCTTATATTCTTAACTCTCTCTTCTGCACCTCAGGACATTATCAGACAGAGTACAATGTTGTATGTTAGAAAAATTACTCCCATCAATCAATAAGATCCTGCTCGTTCCAATAGGAGAATTTACAGGTTCTTATTCATTCACTGTGTTTATGTGGCATTGGTGATCTCTTTTCTTATGGGCTGAAGAAATTTGTCCACGCGCTGAGATGTACGGCGGTTGTATTCTCATATCTCGCCCATGCTAACAAGGAAGTCCCTTGTCAGCTCAAAGCTGAGCCAGCTGCTGGCCATACTTGGGGCCACTTTCAGGAGATTTGGAACGATTCCTTTGAATAGGCCTCGTATTCCTTCCTCGGCCATAATGACTTTCACAGCATCTACGACCGATGTGTATTTATATCCCATGCCCGACATTGTGTTAATCTGAAATCGTCGACGTAGAACATCACTATTACAACAGTGGTGAGTATGAGGCCGCCCGTGTGTGAAGATGACAGTAGTGTGTGGGTCTCTCACAATGGATAGGTGCAAGTCTGAGCCACTGCCCCGGAAACTGCCCCGGCTAATAATTTACGAACGGAACTGGGCGTTGTTTCGCCTTCCGGGGTGAGATAAGTGCGAACCGATTCATATGTCATGAAGTTTAGACCAACCTATAGCTGTCAGTCCACAGGCCAAGTTTATCAATTGTGATGTTAATGCGGTCCTTACATATGGGGCAACACCAGCCACTGTGGGGATTATACCCCGATACAATGCTACTATGCCACCTTCGTTCTTGTATATTAGGATCATGGTTGTAAGCATACCCGGCAATGGCTCCCCGGCTCCCCGCTGGCCGAGTGCTGCAAACGAGGCTGACTGGATAGAAAGCCGAGTTCTGACTATGTCTAGAGGATAGGTCACCGTCACGGATGTAACCCCTGCAGCAGCTCCGCATATGAGCCGCCGGATAGGGGACAAGTCTGTATTGGGAGAAGGCTCTGCGAACTATAGGTGATCGAGTCAAGTAAAGTCAGCCTTGTACTAGGCTTCACATGAGAATGATCAGGGGAATGTGGCGACTAAGTCCGGGGCTTTGGACATCCAGCGCTGAACTCACTGACTTTCTTGTAGAAATTATAGCTTCCGAATTGGACCGCGGAGTACGGCACAATGCGGATGCAGTTAGTCCCGTTTCCCCGCAGATAGCCCTTCCAGCCTTCTTCCTTGCCTATTTTCACCAGCGCTTTCCATATTGAAAGTTTATATTCATTTCGCCCAACACTTTGAATTTGTAGAAGGATCTTGAGACGTTCAAGTGGCGAGACAATGGTCCTAGATACGGCCCCGGCCACGCCGCCGGCGACGAAAGCTGCGGCAACAGGTTCGGAAATCCTCCACTTGATCCTATTACTCAGAGTAGGCGCCTGTACAGGAAAGTTGTCCTGAGGTGTAAGTGCGCTGACTGTCTATTACATGCCGGCGGTCATACCTGGAAAGTGCTGGACTTTTGCATCTTGGGCACTTCGGACAACGCAATTTGATCTTCGCCCTCGACAGATGAGACTGCGTCTCGGTGATTCAAGCTCATCGTCTTATCAATATGCGGCCTCCGGGCTGAATTATATGCATTCGTGGGAAGGCTGCAGTAGAAGATAGCACACAGGAATAGAGGGAGGTGTATCCGCCTTGCTTTGTGGAGCGTTTGCGATAATGCTATAATATAAAGTGGACGTGTGATAGAGGTGCCTTGACGAGCTCATTCGGTCATTCCATATGGAAACGAAGGCAAAACAGTGTAGAGAGCATGAATGTCAGTGGTAGGAGCGCAGTAGCTTTGGGATGAGATGACAACTGTGCCCGGCACTACACCACATTAGGGTCAAGAGGCCCGCGGCGCCAACTACACATGCTATAAGCAGTTGGTGCTAAAACAAGTCTAGTCAGTGGAGGGCTAAATCAACGGGCAGGATGGTAAACGCGGTCAGGTGCCAAGAGTATTGATGAGAAGTGTCAACGGAAGTGTAATGCTTTACGGGAAATCATACTTATTGCTCCACCAACCGACCCGAATGCATACGGAGAAGTCAATGCAATGCAAATACTTATCGCTTGGCAACCCCCACCCGGCTAAAGCCAGGTCGGCTCCGTAACGGCTATTGACGGCGGCTGTAGTTCTAATATTACTGCAACTAAACCGTATATAATAGGCAGTAAGACTTCTAAGACCTTTAGACACTATATGATTATGCTCTAATACAGAATAAGATACAGTGGGAGGAAAAGAGTTTGCAGCCCCCCTGTTTGGCTTATGTAATGCGCTAGCTATCACCGCCTTCTTTATTTTGTCCACCGTACATTCAGCAAAGGGAATAATTGGCTTCTATAAGAGTTCTGCTGGCAGATTCACGGATACACTATATCTAAAAAGGCTAGCGGACGAACTATTGCAAGGGGGGGGGACTGTACTCTAATAACATGATCAGTAAACAAGTCGGCTATCTAAGCAAGTTAGTCCCTGTATTAACCATTCCTATACTATTAAACCTGTTTTGTGCAGATGTTAATTTCTCTACTAGAAATATCTCCACTGCAGAACTTAGTAAAACAAAAAAAGACTGGTTTTATATGTAAAACTACTTATAGAATTTGAATTTGGTTGATTTGTAATGCTATGGTATTGCTATATGTGAGGATTATGTAAGGGCCCAAACCAGCCCTTCCAACCTTTGCAGTTATCGCGAAGAAAAGTCTATATAGCAGGTCTTAGACTATAATTATATAATGGTTAAGCAAGCCGGCTGCACTATTTATAAAAATAATAATAATACTATAAATAAATAAATTAGTAATAATATTTTAAAATAATCTATTAATTTTTTAGATTTTATAAGAATTATTTATTTATTATATTATTTTATTATTTTAGTTTTTATAATCTTATTATTTATATTCTATAAAATAGCTTATTAAATAATAACTAGATATAATATATAAAGCTAAATAAAAAATAATTTTTTAATCTTATTATAAAAGATTTTATATCAACTATGAAAAATAGATTTTCTGTAATAAAAGAAATATAAATATTAATCTAAAAATTTTATAAATATTTATATTTATTTAAATAGATTATAAGATTATAAAACTAATTAAAAATCAATAATATAAAAAATTAACTATAAAATTTTTTAATAACTCTAACTTCAACTTTATAGAATTAAAAAATTTGATATATTATCTATAATTATATTATTTATTATAAATCTATTATATATTAGAAATTGATTATAGAAATCAACTATTAGAATAAAAACTAAAAAAGTATATATTATAGTAGTATATCTTAACTATATATTAAATAATTTATAATAGAAGAAGACAGCTGAACTATATTATAAAAAAATAAACAGATTTCTATTATAGTGGATTCAGTAGTATTAATAGTTCTGCTATTAGTTTCCGTCTATTAGATATCTTTTAGTAACTTTAACCTCCCGAACTTTCCTTTTTCTTAATAATCTTTATACTAATTAATCTTATTATATCTTTATTTAATCAATTAGTATTATTATATCTAATAGTATATCTTCGGCTATAAATAGTCTAGGAAATTATTCTAAAAATAAACTGTTTATTTTATATTTTTAAGTTTTTTCTTTCTATTTTTAATTACTGTATAACTGTGTTAATTACTTTTATTTTTTTATTTATATATTGAGGTTTCTTCCAATTGTATTTTTATATTCTGTTATTTATTTCTGTGTTTATTTATAGATTATTTATCTTGCTAAATTCTTCTTTTAATTCTCAATTTGCTTACCTGATTCTATATATAAATCAATTCTACTAAATTAATATTTTATATTTTATATATTTTTATTTTTTATACTAATTATTCTTTTTTATACTGTAAATGTTTTTTATTTATTTATATATTTTTATATTATAAGGGCGACCCTGTGTACCTTGCCTATTTTCTAAACCCAGCCTGTCAGAGTGTCAGACTGGAAGGTCACCTGGGTATAAAGCCCTAAGCCCTAGACTGTTTAATTTAGTTATCTAAATAAGAACTATTATTCCAGTCTGTTTGATTTATTCTATTTTTATTTTATTTATTTTACTCTTATATTCTTACTTCTGTTTATAAAATGTCAGACTGGAAGGTCACCTGGGTGTCAAAACCCTAAGCCCTAGCCTTCTTAATTCAGTTATCCGAATAAGGGCTATTATTCTAGCCTGCTTTATTTATTCTATTCCTGCATTCTTACCCCTGTTTATTAAATATTTATAGTTTTCTATTTAAAAAATTAGTAAATAAAAAAAATAGTTGTAACGGTGGTCACGATACAGAGGAGGATGATTGTTGTATTATTACTAATCACTAGCTATACTAAATACAAGTATAACTATTCTATTAGCGGTATATTAAATAGTAATATTCTACTATTTTTTATAATATCCCCAGCATTACCTGTTATAGTATCTTTTTCTAAATATAGCGGCATCCTTGTTATCTTTATTTACAGCGGCTTTTAATAAAAAAGTATATAGACTGAATAGCTTTATTCTAACTTATTAGTTAATTATCTAGCTAGTTTAAAATAGTCTTATATTTTATAATTCGGGCTGTTTTAATAGTCTCAG